ACAATCGCCAGTAGGATGAGCAGGTTCCCCATAAGAGTGAAGACATAGCAGCCCAAAAACAGGACAAAGAGCATGGTCTCCAGGTCCTCCGTGTGTGGGATGCCCAGCAGGATGAACTCAGTCACTGCTGAGAGATTCTTCATAGCTGTGAGAAAGGCAGACCTCTGAACGCAACCCACAATACCAAAGTCTGAACACCAACATCAAATTATCAAGCTTTTCACTGATGAATGCTTTGATTGTGTTTTTAACAGGCAACGCCAGCCTTCTTATGAATGGCAAGATGTATATCAAAATATCAGGTAGTAAGAAATGCCAATTTCAGCACCACACTCCATCCCACTCCTGGAAGGAGTGTGTTAGAGAGGCTGATGGCTGTTCTCTATGATGAGATCAGAGGTTTAGAGTATATACAAAATATTCTCCTGCTGAGAAACCTTTTTCAGTTTGTTCAGTTCTCTCGTTAGTATTTCCTCTCCTTAGGCGTCTTTGTATTTTTAGACTCTCATGATATCTTTGAATAACAAACTTCCACTATTCATTATCCTTTAGAAAAATCAGCAGGTGGGGAGGGGGAGGGGGAAATGTGTTAGAAATCGGAGCATTTCATTTAAATCCTGGCTGTCTTAGTAAAGTTTATGAGATGTCTGTGAGGGCATCTGGCAAAAACATAAACCCTAATAATAAGTGCTCATTTTATGTATCTTTTTTATTTTTAATAAAATTTTTTAACATTTGTTTATTATTGAGAGACAGAGAGAATGTGAGCAGGGAAGGGGCAGAGAGAGGGGGAGACAGAGAATCCGAAGCAGGGTCCAGGGTCTGAGCTGCCGGCACAGAGCCCTATGTGGGACTCAAACCCACAAACCACGAGATCGTGACCTGAGCTGAAGCTGAGCTGACGCCCAACCGACTGAGCCACCCAGGCGCCCCGTATGTATCTTAAACTTCCTTCTTTAAGTGCTTTCCTTTGGTGATGGCATTCTGTAACTATTTGTAAATAAATGTTTTATGAAACAAATTATTGAAAAGACTTAGACCATATCCTCTTCAGATTACATCCCTCCTGACTTGAAAGGTCTTATAGCCCCATATCTTTTGGGTGACACTGCTCTGGTTCTTCTGGTGCTTTTAACTTTTCCTCAGGAGACTTGAGGCAACTCTGAAATACTAAGCAAAAGAAATAGTAACAGCAAGAAAGCAGCAATTTCATGTTACCGTGATGAAGAAATACAGGGACCCTTATAGTGGAAAGTCAAAGAACAGCTCAAACAATTCAAGAGCAGGGTATGGTGCCTGGAAGACACAGAGACCTCTTCCTCCCACTACTCATTTAATAACAACAACATACACACACACACACACAAAAAAAAATAACAACAACAATAATAATACACAGACACGTGCATATACATACATACCATACATACCATTTAATGAATATTTACTGTGTTCCAAGGACAGTGCCCAACACTTTCCAAATGTGACTCATTTAAGTAAACCTATAAGAAGAAGCTATTACTACTATCCTCATCTACAAATCAGGGAACTGAAGCTTGGAAAAGTTCAGCAAGTGGCCGAAGGTTACTAAGCTAATATGTGACAGAGCTGAGACCCAGACGGGTTTCATTTCATTCAGGCTGCTTCGTACTCCTAATCACTAGGAAAACTGCCTTCTGCCTCTGCTTTTAAGACAGCCATCCACTGCAAGCAATGACACTCTTCTCGATGGGTTCACATCATTTTATAGTAAGATAGGACAAGCCTTCTTGTCTTACTTCTTCCTGGTTATTTCCAGTCTTGACTTTACAGCACACCTAGTTAAAATAGAATTCAGTTTTAGAGATCAGACAACAGACTTTTTCTATCCTTTTGACACTAGAACTTAATATCAGCCCCACTACAAGAGCTTTCAACCTGAGAAACTTAACAGAAACCCATGGGGGAGGGGAAGGAAAAAAAAAAAAAAAGAGGTTAGAGTGGGAGAGAGCCAAAGCATAAGAGACTCTTAAAAACTGAGAACAAACTGAGGGTTGATGGGGGGTGGGAGGGAGGGGAGGATGGGTGATGGGTATTGAGGAGGGCAGCTTTTGGGATGAGCACTGGGTGTTGTATGGAAACCAATTTGACAATAAACTCCATATATTGAAAAAAAAAAGCTTTCAAGTGATAGAGTCACATGCAACATGGGGATTCCAATCATAAACTGTGGCAAGTGACACTGAAAAACACGCCAAAGAGAATGACCAAGCCAAAATGAGTCATTCATATACCACCCTGCAACTGAGACAAAATTGAAGATAGCAGAGAGGGAAACAGTGACCTCCTGGGGGAGAGAAGCTATTGACAACCTGCTTCTTATTACAAATTCTAGTCATATCTGAAGAGTGTCTCCTAGCAATGCCGAATTTTTATGAGTTCTAGATCACCTCTTCTTGGTCAAAAAAAGGCTCTCAGAGGTCTTTGGTCCTTACCTATAGTTGGATATTCTATAATTCTATACTCCTGTTTTATTTATAAGTCTATTTTAGGAAAAAGATGTGCCCAGGGACCAGAAAAGCTCCTGTGTGTGGACCTGCTCATGTGTGAGGGGCAGAGGCGAGCAGTCAGATACAGGCAGCAGTCTGGATATTCACATCGTCCACCTGAGAAAACAGTCAAGTTTGCCAAAGTGTCATAACAAGACCTCACCTTTACTGTCTCGAGCAGAACACAGAGTGCTCTAACCAAAAGAGCTTCAATTCTCCTACTTATAAAGAACCGAGTCTCATAGGGTTTGTACAATCAAGATCTACACTCACTCACTCTCCCTGGATTGCTTCCTTGGAAATTTTTTTAGATTCCCTTACGTCATACTTGAGGTATAGAGATAGCTCTGAGGGAGCAATTAGTTTTTTAACCTTATTTATCATCCAGCTATGAAATAATAGCAATAAAATCATCAGAAAGAGATGCTGTAAAGTGGGAAATAACAATGTTCCTTCAAGATCACTTACATGGTAGAATGAGCTTCAATTCTATCATTTTTTTGGTTGTCTTGTACACTCTCAAGGCTTTATTATATTACCTGTCAGTTGCTTTTGAGGTTATCTGTACATTCATGTGACTGTACAGTTATCTCTAATAAACATTACTATTAAAGACAGAAACCTCATCAGTTAATGACTATTTATTATGCATCTCCTATCATGATGTGTCCTTCAGGTCAGTACTCCTAAAGAGAAATATTTACATACTAGATGCATCCATAGCAGAGGACCCGTATAAATAAAGGGGCTGGCTATAGGGCACCTGGGTGGCTCAGTTGGTCAAGCGTCTGACTTTGGCTCAGGTCATGATCTCACCATTCATGAGTTCAAGCCCCACATGGGGCTACGTGCTGACAGCTCAGAGCCTGGAGCCTGAGTTGAATTCTGTGCCTCCTTCTCTCTGTCTCTCTGCCCCTTGCTCAGTCATATTCTGTCTCACTTTCTCTCAAAAATTAATAAACATTAAAAAAATTTTAAATAAAGGAGCAGGCTATAAACCTTCTCAAAATGATTGAGAAAAATGATTGAATAGCTAATATTCAGTTAGTCCATAGTAAACATTTACCTCAAGCTAAGCGCTATGCTAAATTTTACATTCATTATTACTTTTAATCTCCAATAGAAACCTTATAAAGTAGGTGGCATTTGACAAAGAAACTGAAAAGTAGATGAAATATCTTGAAGATTACACAGCTAGAAAGAAACTGAATTGAGATTCTAATTGCAAAGCCAATGCTTTCAAGCATTATGCTTTGATGAATGCCAGAGATCTGAGTTTTGTACTGAAACAGAAATAGAGATATAATGTGGTCTTCAAGTGCTTGCATGGCTGGTAGTCTTGATATATGCTGTTCCATGTGATGACTCGGGAATCATAGGCAGATATGGTAGAAAGATTTATTTTCAGAATAGAAAGAAAGTGTTTATTAGAAAATGTTCATAGGTGAAATACGCAAGCTTATGAGATGATTAGCTCCTTGTCGCTAGAAATATCCAAGGTGTGGAGAGAATCATCTTGTAGGTGTGCCATTAAGAATGT